TGACCCTGCCCGTACCCTGTCAACTGGTTTTGTCACGAATCTGGTGATAATGGTAATGTAAAGATAAGTTGAAAAACCTTTCTATTACACTCAACTTTTTCAGCTGATGAGGACTGCGTTGTTATTGGTCAAACTTTTCGAATTTCGACGTCAATGAGAGCTCGCGACCCACTTGTTGCGACCAAGTTACAAGTACATTCACAACTAGTTAATACTTCAAGTAAACCAAACCGTCACCGAGACAGAGCCTTCGTGGACGAAGAATTGAAAACCCCACAAGGCATTTCTTCCCCATCGGCAATCCATCGCTGTATCATGGCTGACGAACCAGATATTTCTGTCGTTGTGACTAAACCTCAAATCAATTAGGAAAGTAGAATGTATGTTTTGACTTAATTAATGATTGAGTGAAGTTGTCTTCTTGGAGCGATAATATAAAAACAATTTCACTCTGGTGCGATGTTCGAGACGTTGCTAATTAGATTGTTATGGTTATAGTTGAAGTGGCGTCACAGGGAACACCAAAACCGGGAAGGCAAACATACTTTGGCATCATGTGCGCCAAGGTTGATCATTTAAAGATAATACCATAAAAGCATTTGGATAATTGTAAGTACACTACGTATCAGCAACAACATGTTTAGATTTTTTGTTTGACGACAGCAAGATCAAGTAGTATCATGTCATGCGCTTGGACGTGGGTGATATTGTCATGGATTGGCTAAAAGTATTTTTTATTTCATGAGGATGGTTTTGGATGTCCATAATATCAATACCATATTAGTATTCCAGAAGTACGGTGGAAAACCACGGGGAAGGATTTCCGTCGTTCCTTGTGTTCCCACATAAATGCCAACATTGGCGAATTGGTGTGGCAGATTGTCAATTTTATAGGTTTTGCATGGGTGCATTAAAATAATGAAACTGCGGGACAACGCCGGGCAGCAAGACAGGAGCGAGCGTAGCGCGGAGGTGGCCGATAAGTTCGCCAGCGCGTAACTCCGATGGGCAAGTCCAGATGCCAACGGCACCAGGAAACGCGGGCACATTTCCAGGTGCGAGTCCAGCGGGAATAACGACTGCAGCCGGATTGATGTTCATAGCCTGCAGGTTGAAGATAACTGTTGGTGGATCGAGCAGCTTCGCGAGCGCCGGATACTGCTTTCCCAGTTCGTCAAGCAGATGCATGATCTTTCGCCCAAGGTCGATTGCGCGACCGTCAACTTGATGTAGCGTACCAATGCCCTGCATGAACGACAGCAATGGCCACAACTTGAACAGATCCTTGTCGATGGTGCAGAGCATCACGTCGTCGGGGAAACAGTCGCGCCCAGCGGCCTCAATCTCTTCGCCCGTCTTCCAGACAACACCGCTTGGTTGAAGACAATCATCACGACTGAGGCAGTGCTCTTGTAGGTCGACCTACAGAACGATAGAGAACATCAGAGAAAGTTGTTCAAGTTACATACCCTCTCGAGGCGCTTAATCAGTTGGATGAATTTGCTTTTGATTTTCAATTTCCGATAACTATTGGGAGGCGCATGCCGCATAAGGAAGTTGCAGCGGTCGATGACATCGTTGTCCGTGAGATCTCCAGCACGCTTGAACTCGCTGAAAAACGTGAGTGTTTCAACGTCGGTGAGTTTGGTGCTTCGCGGGATATCTCGCCAGCGGCGCCCAGGAATGTGGTTTGGGAGCATACTTGCGTCTCGCAGTTCCTCCTCCTCCTTATCATCCGCCTCTTCACCGCTGCGCTTCCGCTTCATCGTCACCTACAATGTGTGAATGGAATTCCCCCCAGTTAACCATTGTCGAATTGCTCGACGTCCGTCTATTGGACACATCATCCGGATAACATCCAGATAATGCCCGGATAAGGCTTGGTAACGCCTGGATACTGTTGGATTTAGATTGGATATTTACCACCTCCAAATCTAAATAAATGTACTTCGAAGTAGCTATTATAGTGTTTACTAGTGTATCATGTTCCAATTCAAATCCCTCACAAGTTGTATATGACATGTGTGGATGCAAAATAAGTTTATACAAGTTATCATTTGCCCAATGGGAATCGAGCATGGTGAAATATTGTTTAGACCACAGTATAATCACTGTTTTTGAGTTTTTGTGTAATCGATTTTTGAAAATTTTACTTAAGTATATTTGGTGTAATGGTGATAAACCGTCATGATCGTTTTATGAAAAATAATTTAGTCACTGTTTGGTGATATACTGTTGTCGATCAATTTTTAGAAAAATTGAATTCTACTGTTAAAGTGCTAAACAGTTATCAATTTGAACAATTCATTTTTACTGTTGTACTGATATACTGTTAACAATTCATTT